AAGTGGTTGCTCGAAATCTAAACCCAATTGTTCAATACACAATTCACATCTACGAATGATCGAACGTGGTATAGCATTATTCAAATAAGGCCTTATTTCATCACATGCATTCCTGATTCTGTCTATTATATCTCTTGTGGTTACGGGAGTCTGGTACACTTTTTCTTTTAGAAATCCCCACACAAAGAAATCTAATGGACTTAGGTCAGGGGATCGTGGAGGCCAGGTGACTGGTCCTCCACGGCCGATCCATCTTTCTGGATAATTTTCGTCCAGCCAGTTTCTAACTATTCTCGAATAATGAGCTGGACAACCATCAAGCTGGAACCAGGCCAATCTTCTTAAATCTAACATAACATCATCCCACATATTTGCATGTTCAGCCTTTAAAAATTCCAAGAAGGTCGCAGCATTTAACCTTGCAGGCAAAAGGTAGTGTCCAAATAGTCGATTACAGTAGATACCAATCCACACGTTCACACTAAATTCATGCTGAAAATTTCTTTCCCGAACTGCATGCGGATTTCCATGCGACCAAATATGTTGATTATGAAAATTTACCACTCCACGTCTAGTGAAGCATGACTCATCGGTCCATAAAACGTTACTTAAAACTCCCTATTATTATTAGTTCTATCAAGAATCCACTGACAAAATGTGATTCTTCATTCTCCGTCCCCTGGCTGTAGTCCTTGCACAGGTTGCAAATGGTAAGGACGTCTATGGTCATTTCTAAGAACACGGTGAACATGGCTTGCTGAAATTCCCAAGGCACCAGAAACTCTCCTAACACTTGTGGTCGGATCTCTATCAAACTCACGCAGAATCATACGGGTAAATCTGCGCTGACGAACATTTATGTTTTGATCCCCCTGGAGATTTCCAAGACCATTTTCAATTATTTGGCGATGCACTCTTACAAATACTGAGCGAGTTGGATGTCGTCTGTTTGGAAATCTTCGTGCGTATTCTCTGGCTGCTTCTGCTGCGTTTCCATTTACAAAGCCATACACAAAATGAATATCCGCTAACTCTTGATTGGAGAATAAAAATGGCATTTTTATAAAACTTAAAAAAACAGGTAAAAGAAACTGAATTTCGTGCATTCAAAATTGAAAAAAAAAACGTTTCAGGTTTCAAAAGACAACAAGACTAACCGTCAACTAATTGACGTTTAACCTTATTCTGCTTTTAATTTCAAAAATATTTGCAGGCACAGCCTACTTCTAAAAATTATCGAGATACTGACTTTTTAACGTTATTTTATCATAAGTAATTAAAAATGCATCGAACCTGAAAAATCGAAATATCTCAAAAACGGCTAACTAGAACGAAAACTCACAGGAGAGCTTTTTTATGCAGAAAAGTGCTAAGAATCAGTTTTTTTATTCAAAAAGCAAAAAATTGCACTAAGAAAAATTTTTCGGTCATTTTAATACACTACAGGTAAAGTAGAGAGCGCCCTCTAGCGACTACAGTAAAACTATGCCCATGGTTCGTTTTGTCGTACCAAAAAGCCCTTGTATACCAATTTTCACTGTTATACATCAAATATTGTTCGAAATATTTAAAAAAAACTATTTTAGAAAGTAAACACCCTGTATTTCGGAAGCCACGCATTTTTTGACCCATGTTTATATAGACTTTATGCATTAATTTTAAAAGTTCTATCGAATCTTAAAGTTATGCAACAATAAACTGAAACACCCTGTATACATTTTTTGTGGCATTATGTAGGCTTTCCTACAAGACGTCAACTTAGTACTAGCTGTTGTGCACTTGATGTGTACTCGTTCCGTAGCTGTAAGTATTGCGTAAACGTCATGATGCTGCAGCTATGGCATTATTGAAGGTCTAATCTTTATACTACAGCTGGAAGGAAATGGCAGTTACTGTTCGTCATTTGTTTGTCTGGGCGGTCCGAAGGACCTTTGCCCATTAGTCACTGAGTAATGTACGTTAGTCGAATCTGTCAGTCCTGGTTGCCCAGAAACCAGACAAAGTCAACGAAAAAGAGAAAGGGAAAGAGAAGAAAAAAGGAGAAGAGCAAAGAAAAACAGATATGCATAGTTTAAGAGGAAACACCTAGGCTTTTGGACTTGGTACACGGATTAATTTTGAGGTGAACTAAACAAATTTTTTTATTCGGTTTTGTTAGAGTGTAGTTTTGAGTTTACCAAAGATTCACGCTAACTTTTGATTACAGTGCGAGCCGTGGCCTTGAATGTTTACGAACTTGCTCCACTGTGTAGTCCGCCTGAAGCTTGACATAATCCCTCAAGTAAGGAATGTCAAGATCTCTGTGTAGTGTCTGATTTGAGACATACCATGGAGCGTTGCAAATTGTCCACAATGTTCTGCTTTGCAGTACTTGAAGACTTTGCATGTGTGTCTTGGCAAGAAAACACCAAGCCGCACATGCATAAGTAATGGCTGGTCTAATAATCATTTCATATAGTCGAACTTTGTTTATCAAACTCTATTTGGAGTATCTACATAACATGGTACACGATTTCCGTCTACAGAAACCTCTGCTGGTGGGCCGCGACGTTTTTTGGTACAATAGATAGCCTGTGTTTTCGAATGATTAATTTTATCAGCCACCGTTCCGCCCACTCTAGAACTTCGTACACCGCATTCTGCAACCCACCGTGAACCAGATCACCAGTACACGACTGGGCGACAAGTGCAATGTCGCCAGCATAGAGATAGGCTGCACAGTTGCTGGGGCAAGGGACATGGATGAAAAGCGAATAAAGAATTGGTCCTAGGACTGAACCCTGATGAACACCGGCCCGTACTGGCCGTGTTTTTGACAAAACATTGTTAATTTTGATCCGACTACTTCCTTCCTTCAAGAAGGGATTTCAGTAATTTTAGAAGCTTTTTGGATTAGTTTATAGAGGAGGCCCGCGTGCTACACCTTGTCAAAGGCTTTTGAGACATCTAAAAGTAAGATGGCAGTACTCATGCTGAGGGTGAACCCTCTGGTTACATGCTCCATCAGCCTGACTGCGTGTAGCTCGGTGCTATGCTTGAACCCACCTTCTTTGGATTCATGATGACCTCAGCAGTCTGCCACCCAGCAGGAAAGTACTGGATTCTGAGCGTCGCATTGATTATTGTCACCAAGTATGTCAGGGCTTTCGGCGGAAGCAGCTTCAACGCCTTGTTGGTGATTCGATCCTCCCCAGGTGCTCTACGCACCTTGAGGTCTTTAATATGACTTAGGAGATCCGCTGGTGTGCAATGTGGAAACTCGGAGGGTTCCGCTAATGTGCTATGTGGAGCCTCAGACGAATCTTCTGAAGAAGAGTCATCTGCAGAGGATTCAGTGCCTCTGCTAACGCCGTTGGCCCTAAAATATCTCCTGACGGATCGTACGATGTGCTATTCCTCGTCGAGGTCATTATCGAGATCATAGTTTTGAGAGAACTGTTTTTCCATGGCATCAGCGAAAACTTCCACCTTATCCTCCGTTCTGAAGACTATGCCTTCAGGACCGTGGATGTGTGGGAGTTGTTCTCGCTTTCCGTTTCTGAGTGACTTTGCGACCTTCCAGAGAGGAATACTTGAATCAAGCATTCCCGCCAAAAAGTCGCTCCATTGCTCGTTGCGGAGTTCGGGCAGTGCGTTTCTCACTTCATGGACAAGATTTGTAGTCCTACGAATGTCATCAGGATGACAAGACCTTTTTGCTGCTTAATAGCGGCTCTTTTGTCAGAGATTTTCTGACGAATGACCGCAGGAAAAGGTCTGCCGTGTCGTTGTACAATAAGTACAGCTGCAAGCTGTAGAGCTGCTTGAATGAAACTTGTCCACTCCGCTTGAGCGGCATCTATTCCAGACTCACCATCTATAATCGGGATATTGGGAAACTCACTAAGGAGCAACTTATATAGGTCCCAATCAATGCGTTTCCTTGGAGGAGCTGCCTCCTCAGAAGTTTGATCATTTCCCACATCCAAGCCAACAGGTAGATGGTCACTAGAGATATCAGACAAGATTCGAGAAGAGATACTGTATCTACAGTTTTTAGATACCGCGAAGTCGATGACATCTGGTGTCTGAAGATGGTTGAATGGATTATGTGTCGGCTCTTCAGTGCTATGTAAGAGGTACCCATTTCGCATCACATGGTTGTACAATCGAACCCCACTCGTGGAATTCAGCCTAGAATTCCATGCTCGATCTTTGCAGTTGAAGTCCCCTGCCACAATAAGCGGACCCGAGTAGTCCAAAAGGACCTCCAGATCCGCCTCTTGCAGCCTGACACCACACCTGACATACACCGATGTGATCTTCAACGAGACACCCCCCGCCATATTGACCACAGCAGAAGCTGCTTCGATGCTATGCATCTCCGCACTAATGCTTCTATACCGCGCTTAATCAACACTGCTAAACCGCCGCCTCGACCATTCAATCTGTCACCTCGGATAACATCATAATTCGGAAGAGCTAAACGATCTCCCGGATTAAGCAACGTTTCCTGCAGCAAGGCCACATCTTTACCTTCATCCAAAAGTGCTTAATGAAATTCCCGTTTTTTGGGAATATCTCTCATGCCCAAACAATTCCAAAAAAGAATTTTGATGAATGCAGGCTGTCTACTATTGTACCTAGACATTTACAGGAAATATCGCCTGCAACGCTTGGGTAGCGCTAATCAATGGGCTTATTATTTGTTGTAAGGACCTTAGCGCGGTTGCCAGGTCCACATTTTGCGTGCTCAAGGGAGGTTGGGCAGAGGGAGCAGGCAAGGTTGCCTCCCTAGATGCGTCCGCGTATGATAGATTGCGCCTTTGCGCTATAACTTGCAAGTTCCTCCTTGGACTGAACTTGCAAGTCCGGCTATTTGCGGGATGTCCCTATCCACAGTTCGCGCACTTGCGCTCTTCCTCTTCTGTGAGGGGCACAAATTCGTCATGTGGTCGTTTGCACATTTTAAGCATTTGGGCGGTGCAGTGCAATATGACGCATGCCCATACTTTTGGCAGCGGTGACACTGCCCAATGAGTCTGGCGTTCTTCTGAACCTCAACTCGAATGGCCAGTCCCAGCAGTTCGTGTTCGTTGAACACTTGCTGAGACTTTTCAGTCTTGGACAGTATCACGACCACGAAAGGCATGGGTGCGCCGCCGCTGCGCTTCAATCGAATGATGTGGAGAGGGCTATATCCCCTCTGCTCCAGTTCTCCCTTAATCTCAGTATCCGAAAAGTTGACGGGAACTCCTCGAACCACCGCGTGGATGTTCCGTTCCGAAGGGAGAGGAAAAGTGTGATGGGGCACTTCTTCCTCTCGGAATAGGCGAACGACCTTACGGTAGTCATCCTCGGATTTAGGAATAATCCTTATTCCCGCATCGACGGCAACAGCGCGATCTATTTTAATACCAGGGAAATAAACTTTAAATTTAAAGTAGTCCATCTCGTCCCGTCGCGTAAGACGATCGGGGTTATGCGCCCTTGTCGTGAGGGTTGTGTTGATGCCACGACGCTTGGACTAGATGACAGAGAAGTAACATCGGCTGACGTAGTCACCTGACAGGTAGATAACGTGGTCCCTGGCTTGGTAGTAGAAGCATTAATGATGTTTCGATTTGATGAATTGGGGGAGGTGTGCAATGGAATTGATCCTGTATTCGGAAGAGGAGGAAAGTCTTGGGTTGATCGATCAGCCTTGTCACCTTTCCTCCTTCTTGATTTTGCTTTTACAAATCCTTCGGTCTGTACGTCTTCGTCTGTGGATGTGAGATGATTATCAGTAATATTTCTCAGTGGTCTTTTTAAGGTGTTTGTCTGTGCTTTAGGGGATTCTTTTGAATTTAGTAATATTGTTACCTGGGCGGTCAGGCTGTCAATTTTGGCTGTCTGGTCCTTGATGGTCTCCATTAGGTCTCGAATCTGCCTCGCCTGGTCGTCTATAATCAGCATAAGTTTTTCGATCGTTTTCTGCTCCGAGGACATCTGCGTCAGTGAGCTCATATTTTCTGCTTCTGCTTGGTTTCCGCCACCGCTCAGCTCTTTCCTCGTAGTATGTGGAACTGCGTCGTCTGCTGATCCTCCTGGGTCAACTTCCATCTTTAACAACTTTTTCTCGCCAACAAATCTCTGAAAACTTATAGCTCGCAAAGGAAATGGCAGTGTAACAGGTACATAGTGAGAATTTATGTGCTAATAGTCTGTGTTGCTGATAATTCCATTTGTTTCTTGTCTCAAATGCACTTTCCTGAGATATATGCAAAGCTAAAGATTAATTCCTCATTAGCTATTTCTTGTTCAACCTTTAAATTACATATGCAAATTTGCTGAATTTCAAAAAAGAGAGCGATAAGAAGAAAAAAGAATGAAGATCCCTGGTTGGTGAGAGTATATTAAAACAGGTGAGAAAATATGGTATATACAAGAATATTTGAGAAACGCAGAAATGTTACTACATTTCACATTAATTTTTATTGACAGTCATTTAAATTTTATGGAAATTTATTTTACCATGTCAACTAGAAAGTACAGGTCAACGCCTAGATGTGAGGCAGTGTGAAAACGTTTTGTATGTGATGCATCATTCCTAATTTTTCTTCAATGTGGCTTAATTACATACAAAGCGGGTGCGGTGCTGATTTCCCGTAATGTTTCTCAAAGTTTTTGAAAACGCAAAAAATGAAAAAAATCGCAATGTATAACTTTGAACATCACCGCTCTTCAGAAAGGACAACACAAATAACCCGTCTGGCACAGCTAATAGATACATTTCGTAGGCATAGCATATATCGGTGATTCTATCTAAAGGAAAAAAAAAAAGAAGCAAAAGCATATTTCACTCAAATGAGAAACATATAATAAATTATTTAAGTAATGCCCAGTACTCCCAGAATGCTGTTCAAACTATCAGCATGTACATTAATTACAATAATTATGTTAGATATGGCATTACAAGTTTCACACCTTACATATACTGAGAACCACATTTGTCTGACGGCTTGAGTTCAAAGTGTTCGAGGGAGAAGTGTGTATAAGATAGAAGCCACCTGGATAGATAAGCTCATCACCGCGTTGCCTAGTAATGCTGACGCGGCAATGTGCCGCGTAGCCAGTATGTTACACCAGTTCCTTGAATTAAGGTACATATTGCAAATATTCTTTACGCACAAATAATAGTTTTATTTTGAGCGTACGCATTTTTAAATTGTTAATTGTGTTGAATCTGCTTAAGATTGATTTCCGATAGGTCCTAACGGCGCTCTACCTTAGTCCGAAATGAAAGGTCAGGTTTGCCACGAATTCTGAGACATTGCATTATTGGTTCATTTGATAACACTGCATCTTGTACATTCCAAGGCAAGGTTTCCACCTCCATGATCATAGCTGAGCGATTTTAGTCAGTACCCATCTAGCGCACGTAGGGAAGTATCGTCCTGCTTCGAAATGGCTTTCACCTGCGGTCACGCAGGCAGTGATAATTTGCATTGGGTAACGTTATTTGTTAATAACTCAGGATGTGTTGACTTTATCACCATCGGTGGAAATCAAATAAAATAAATTAAAACACTAAGTCTCATCAAAATTGTAATAAATAATTACAATCAAAATGAAATCGAAACATTAAATTAAATGTTCGAACAGACCTCCTTCTTGGATTTGACAGTAACCTAACCTATTGCAGCAACCTCTGCGATCATTTTCTGGTGTAACATATTGGCAACGCGACAGATTGCACGACCCTGTGCGTCACCGTTGCTACGCAATGTAATGGTGACCTTCGCTCTTCAGCCGACATATATACTAGGTGACATATAAATCCGAACACCCAGTTTAAATGGTTTTATTTTAATAAAATTTTGTATAAGTACTTAATGAAGCATAATAAGTAAATGATAAAAATTTCAAAATGATTGCACTGCTCTAAAGCCCTTTGACCTTTAATAATGTGTGGATGCACCCTGATGTGCTACGCATTCTCCAACGCGCCTAGGCATGCTTCTGATCAGGTGGTCAATGTCCTCGTGTGGTATCTCATTCCAGGCAACCACCAACTCCTCTCGAAGTGCTTCTAGAGTCTGAGGAGGACGTTGCAAATTGAGCAATCTCCTACCCATCATATCCCACACGTGCTCAATTGGGGATAAGTCGGGAGATCTTGGTGGCCATGGTAACAATGTGACAGCATTATGTTGAAAGAAGTCTATTGTGACTCTTGCATTATGTGGTCGGGCATTATCTTGTTGGAAAGTTGGATCTGCCAGGGTGTCAAGATAGGGTAAAAGATGAGGTTCTAGAACATCGTGGATATAACGCTGCGCGTTCATGTTACCTCTGATGAAGATTAAAGGTGACCTGGAACCATAAGCTATAGCACCCCAAACCATAACTCCAACAGTGTGATGAACATGTCTTTCAACAAAAAACTGTGGATTCCTCCTTTCACCACGTCGCCTTCTAACCCTTACACCGACGTAATCGCCTTGAATGGTGCAGACAACGGTCACTCTGGGATCAGGAATGGAATAGTATTGTCTTTAGTGACGAGTCTCGATTTTGTTTAGGCATGCACGATGGTTGTGTCAGGGTTAGAAGGCGACGTGGTGAAAGGAGGAATCCACAGTTTTTTTTTGAAAGACATGTTCATCACACTGTTGGAGTTATGGTTTGGGGTGCTATAGCTTATGGTTCCAGGTCACCTTTAATCTTCATCAGTGGTAACATGAACGCGCAGCGTTATATCCACGAAGTTCTAGAACCCCATCTTTTACCCTATCTTGACACCCTGGCAGATCCAACTTTCCAACAAGATAATGCTCGACCACATGTTGCAAGAGTCACAATAGACTTCTTTCAATATAATGATGTCACATTGTTACCATGGCCACCAAGATCTCCCGACTTATCCCCAATTGAGCACGTGTGGGATATCATGGGTAGGAGATTGCTCAATTTGCAACGTCCTCCTCAGACTCTAGAAGCACTTCGAGAGGAGTTGGTGGTTGCCTGGAATGAGATACCACAGGAGGACATTGACCACCTGATCAGAAGCATGCGTAGGCGCGTTGGAGAATGCGTAGCACATCAGGGTGCATCCACACATTATTAAAGGTCAAAGGGCTTTAAAGTAGTGCAATCATTTTGAAATTTTTATCATTTACTTATTATGCTTCATTAAGTACTTATACAAAATTTTATTAAAATAAAACCATTTAAACTGGGTGTTCGGATTTATATGTCACTTAGTATAGTTGTAAGGGTCGGACTTAGATCATTTTTTTGGGATGGGTTGGACACGAGCAAATTTCCAGTTTTCTGAGAAGGTGCCGGATTCGTAAGATATCTGGAAGAGACGCAAAAGGACTGGAGCAAGCTCCGCTGCACACCTCTTCAATACAACAGCAGAAAGTCCGTACCAAAAGCTTTGTTGATATCGAGCGACAAGAGCACCACCCGTCATATGCCTGAATAGTGTAGGGAACCTTTTGAATCGACAGCACTCGGGCGTTGAGTGGGACGTCGATGGTGGAGTTGGCAGCCAACATCTTGGCAAGCACTTCCGCCTTAGCCTTTGAGACGGTTACAATCGTTCCATCCTGACACTTAAGTGGTGCAAGGCTATTATGTAAGAAGCTTCTTGCAATCTGCTTGGCCAGCGCTGTGACATTACGCTGTGACGGCTTGCCTGTTTTCTACATTGGACCCTGGTTTAGGCACTTTCACTGTATGAGGGATGTATTCATCCATCCCAGCGTTGATAATTTCGGTTATCGATAGACAGCCGACGCATCCGCGGCAGCGAAACAAAGATCTCTCCATGTTCCTCTCTGTTCTGCAAGTACGCCCAATCATGAGAAAATCGGATTTTGCCTTTTGCTATAGTCAGATCACAGAGGCAATATTCCAAAACAACGCTAATGCGGATTTTGTTGTAAGTAAATTAAGCTAACGGCAAACATTCACTCTTGACACCTATGCCGGACCGGCTACTCTAGCACCGGTGACAGAGTGCCCATTCAAGATTCTTGCTACAAAAAGTATCAATGACCATTGTGTATTCTTAGTAAAACGTAACTGCTAAAGAAATTACAAATTCAAATGTATGTATATGTGGTACGTTCCCCTTGACTGGTAACGTTATACTTGCAAAGACCTAGCTCAAATACTGGACACTTCCGATCGGCCCGAAAAAATGCAGGTATGTGAAAAAGGATTGTAACACATTTCAATTTGAAGAATTATTGTCCATATGGCGACTAGTTCTAAGGTTCCGTTGAATTTATGAATGAAAACGTTC